TGTAGCCCCAGCCTAAACACGAACCCTTACTGTAACCCTAACACTAACCCTCTCTGTAACATCAATGTTCCTTGTAACTCTAACACTAACCTTTCCTAGAACCCTAAACATATTCTTCTCTGTAATCCTTCCTAATGTAAGCTTAACCTCGTTTTTTTTTCACTCTGCTGGGATCTTTTGCTCTGAAGATTAACCCCTTTGCATTTAAAGATACTAATACCAGAAATCTGGTGCTGGAATCTAAAATTCCACTTTTTTTCTTACATTCTTTTAGTGGTATTATTACTTTTTCGTAATAGTTTAATTTTATCTGCTGTTATTATGCATTCTCCACGATAATTAAAGGGTAAGTTCACCTTTGGGAACATGTTACATGCTCCACCCGTTTTTAAGGTGAAACATGTAATGTATTCCATAGCCACAGCCGCGCCTGCCACCCCCCCTCCCTCTGACAGATAATACGGGAGAAGTCTCCCCATACTATCGGTCAAATTTGAAAACAGCATGGCTTCCTGTCAGAATATCTGTTTGCTCGTACATCCCGTACGGCAAGCAGATATTCTGACAGGTCTGCAGGAGACCTGCATGGCATCAGCGATCTACTAATTGCTGGCGCAGTGTTTTCCAGGCTCCTGTAGACAAAAAATAATAAATGCACATTTTTTTACCTGCAGAAAAACGTGCATTTTTTTTTTTTCCTAAAAAGTGAACCTTTTAGGTACCTTGTATGTTACAGTTTTAAAAGAACTAATAGCATGTTGCCTGTTGGATTTATAATGCTTTTCCTGGGCTTCCAGTCACCATGACGGACCCTTTTATGTAGCAGCTAGTATAGAAAAGTGAGTATCATACTTACCTTACCTATTTACAATACACAAAAGCACAATAACTCTTACAGTTTTCAGAGTTCCTATCTCCTACTACCAGCATGTCACTTCTTAGCACATGCTCAACTGATTGCCTTCTTGTCCTGCATCTCCCTCTTCCCATTTGAGCTCTGCTGTACAGCAGATTGTAAAGGCCGATACCAGTTCAAACTCGGGTACTTTAACGTCATGAATTAAAAAATACCACAAAAATAAAGCAAATTAACACCCTGCTAACAGTCTGCCATTTGTTTTTGGTACACACAGCAGACTTCCAGGCTCATAATCCTAGCAAAGCACCCTGCTGTAAGTCTATCATCAGTTTCAGATGATTGAGAACATTACACTAGCAGTTGCACTCATCTACACTGGAAATCATTAAATATCTCTGATTACACTAAACTGCCCCAACTTTTTAACATAAAACTATTAATGGATTTATACCTTATTTGGGTTATTTGCCTTCTAGGTTTACTGACCATTTAGAAAACATAAAGAACACACAACATATCTGTACATGCCTGTGATAACAACTGGAAGATTTATGTCATGTTTAAGTTTTCTGCTGCACTGTTTAGTGTGTCTGCACTGTGTTTACCTCCCACCTTGGGTCACTTCAGCTGTATAGTACAAGTCCAGCTTTAGACTCTATTTTACACTTTCTGGTCGGTTTAAACGTTTATCAAATATTTATTAAAATATTCAGCCTACATCCCTATCAGAATATAAAGAAAGTGTTAGGCAATGCTTACTGCAGGTGTAATTTTTTTTACAGTGATTGAAGTATGGAAGTGTTTTAGGAACTTTAAGTGTATTTAAATCCAAAGAAAAAATGTTATAAATTACAGAGAATAGGTACAGGCATTCATAACACCACTCGCCGCCAACTCCCTACCTATCACACAGGGCAGAGGAGTCAGGAGTGGGTAAAACACGCCAATGTACAACCAAAAATTACCTTATTCCTGACCTCCTCCCTACTCAGCTCCCCCCCCCTTCTTACTGAGCTCCCCTCCAGTACAGAACTCTCCCCCCTTCACACTGAGCTCCCCCCCCAATACAGAACTCTCCCCCCTTCTTACTGAGCTCCCCTCCAGTACAGAACTCTCCCCCCTTCACACCAAGCTCCCCTCCAGTACAGAACTCACCCCCCATTACCCTTCACACTGAACTCCCCCCCCCCCAGTACAGAACTCTCCCCCACCTCCTTTCATACATTTTGCAGACCTGTACATTTATGTGGTTAAAGTGAATCTAAAGGTTGTGAATGTTTGTTTTTTTTATTTATAACAAACATGTCATACTTACCTACTCTGTGCAGTGTTTTTTCACAGAGCTGCTTCAATCCTCTTCTTTTTAGGTCTGTCCCCCCTGCCTAGTGCCCCCAATAGCAAACCTCTTGCTATGGGGGCACTCGAACAGGCTTGGTTCCAAGTCAAGTTCCTGTGCATGGTCAATGTTTATTCACACACACAGCATGGCTCGGCCCCACTCTCAGTTGATTGGCTCACTGGCTGTGATTGACAGCAGCAGGAGCCAATGGCTCCTGCTTCTGTGTGAGCCAGTGAGGGCCAGGGGCAGACTGACCATTTGGAAACTGGTCGAGGGCCTGGGGTCAGTAGGGGGCCACATGAGATTCCCCTGGTACCTTTTTCATAGGCTTTTTTGAGTTTGGGCAAGGACACAGGGGCCCCATGATTCCCTATTGCCCGGGGGCCCCATGAGTTTTCAGTCCACCCCTGGTGAGGACAGAGAGAGACCAGAGAGACACGGCTCTCATGCACATCACTGGATCAAGATAGGGCTCGAGTAAGTACCTTCTGCCTTTACAACCACTTTAAATATGTGTATAGCCATCACATTTAAGGATCAGTAAGCTGCAGTATATAACATTTTTGCTTTGGGTTTACATACATTTTAAAGTGAACTTTTCAGATACTTTTCAAGCCTGCATTAATACATCCTTAAAGTGATTCTAAAGGCATGATTAAAAAAATAACAAAAAAAACCCAAACAAACATGTCTATACTTACATGATCTGTGCAGTGGTTTTGCACAGAGAAGCCCAGATCCTCCTCTACTAGGGTCCCACGCTGGCACTCTTGACTCCTCCCTCCTGTTGCCTGCTCCCATAGCAAGCAGCTTGCTATGGGGGTACCTGCTGCTCTGTTTGTCCATTCAGACATGGATTCGCGGCTGAGCCCCACCCTCTCTCTTTTTCTCATTGGCTTATTTGCTGTGATTGACAGCCATTCACTGCTGACTCAGCCAATAAGAGGAGGGAGTCCTGGGATAGCCGAGACTCCAGTTCACATCACTGGATCGAGAGGGGGCTTAGGTGAGTATTGGGGTCTTGGGGGATACTGCACACAGAAGGTCTTTTTTACCCTCATATATAGAATACATGAAGGTAAAAAACCTTCAGCCTTTACAACCACTTTAACTTGTCATAAAATACAGCATGAAAAAAAAAATGGATGAAGAGGCATCCCAAAAAATAAGTTAAATCTCTTCACTCCGACAGTATACAAATATCCAACCTCTCGGCAGCTGGGCCTTGATGCTGAATGGCCACATATTTGCGTACCATTTGTAAACAAATGTGCTGAGAGTGCGCGTCCTGCGTCGGCATCCAGCGGAAAGGTCCCGATCTCCCTTTGCGATCGGGACCTTTCCGATCATGTGACTGCGTGATAGCCAATCATGGTGGCCACATGATCCTAAACCCCACCTCCCGGCGTCAGAAACCCCTTAAAGGGCCGGGAGGCGCCGGGGAGAAGGGGTTAATACTAGCTTATGTGGTAAGTCTAATGTTCACTGTGATGTGAAGCTTCGGTACCCTTGCTATCCGTTGCTTCTCAATGTGTTTAATAAATTGTCTCCAACTCTGTACTGTAATTTCTTAAGCTGGATGATACATCACTAGAGGAGAGAATGACAAAGCAACCAGCAGGTGAAACAGTGCAGAGCAGGGGACATGCTCTACAAGGCTAGGATCACACCTGTGTGGTGTGTTTATGCAATTTGACTGGGCTGCCAGTGCTCTTCAGTGCATCCTTAACCTTTTCTTTTAATGCAACACATTGTAGTGCGCTGTGGCATGCTGCATCACAGGGATGTTGCCTTTGTGTATTGTAATGCCTTTAAAAATGAAGGGCGCCACAACATACTAAAGTGTTCATAGTGTGGTACTTCAGAAATGTGGTCCCAGATGAAATATATTTGCTACCCACTGAACAGGTAAGTATTTGACATCTTCATCTTTTTTAGGATGAATGTTTTGGGTTTTTTTCCTTTTATTTAATCAGAGCAATAGGGCCACATTAAAAGCAAAGTATAGTCAGAGCTTTTTTGGCCATACTTCTCTTGTGGGTCACAGGAGTGCACTTATTTGCTCTCTGGTGACCCAAAACCAGCTGACAGCAAGCTAAAGTCCACCGTCGGTGGACGTTACAGAGCTGGTCCAGGCTGTGGAAGAATCCTGACAATAATATCAGGATTCACCTAGATGCCTGATCTGAGAACCAGAGCCAGCTGATCTCGCCCCCCCATTCCCGATCCAATGAGCACTGGAGGAGCAGAACAGAGAGCAGTGACCGACTCATCAAATTCTGCTCAGAGCAGACTGAGCACTTAACAATCAGTGGTCATGTGATTCCTCAGTTCTCAGGCTTAAAGTAGGCAGGGGACAGCTGCAGCATTACAGCGATGCAGCCATAAAGGTGAGTATGTATGATTATTTTTTTCAATCTCACTCTTCTTTAAGAAAAGTTTGGGGTGTCTTCAAAATCATTTGGATTTTCAGTAAAGAAATCCTCTCAACATAGAAACATAGAAAAGTAACAGCAGAAAATAAAAAAAACTGAGTGGTCCACCGAGCCTGCCCTTTTTTTATATACATGTTTTGCATTTTTTTTTCGTTTGTTTTTTTTTTTTTTTTACATTTTTTGTCTGAGTATAGACTGATGGCAGCACAAAAATCAGTCTGTTAAGATCAGTTGTTTTCCCTCATACAGACCATAATTAAACATTATTATTATACAGGATTTATATAGCGCCAACGGTTTGCTCAGCGCTTTACAATATAACGGGAGAGAATACAGCAACAATACAGTTCAATACAAGAGGGATAGGAGCAGGGGCGAACTGACCATTTGGAAACTCGGGCACTGCCCGAGGGCCCAGGGTCAGTAGGGGCCCCATGAGATGCCTCTGGTACCTTTTTCATAGGCTTTTTTGAGTTTGGGCAAGGACACAGGGGCCCCATGATCCCTTATTGCCCAGGGGCCCCATGGGTTGTCAGTCCGCCCCTGGATAGGAGGGCCCTGCTCCTTGGAGCTTACAATCTAGGACATGACTTTCTTACAATAGTTTGGGGACAAGCTGTAGGCAATTATTGTCGTTTGACTTATCATTCCAAGCTTAGATTTTAAAGTCAAACTCTAGTGACAATATCTTTCATTTAAATATATCAGTCAAGAGCCATAAAGAATATCAATCCACTTTGGGGCATCAAAGCATCAAATGTCATTACAAACTCAAATATTGTAGGGAGGGACCCAGCAGACTCGCCCACTGCAGACTACCTGCAGAAAACTACAGGAGGGGGTGGAGACAGGACCAGTCACCCTGCACAAGGAGAGAGAGCAGCAATGACTGGTCTGTATTATAGGAAGTTCCTGTAATACACAATGGATTACTGCACAAATCAGGAAGAAATACACAAAATACACTAAGATTCAATAAAGAATACACATGGCTCTTGTATTTAGACAATATTTTCTGATTCCTGAGTTCAGCTTTAAGCTTGTTCAGGCAAGGTCCTCCTTCTTGGCTGCATCTTCTCGTTTATCTTGTCTTTGTCTGGGATCTGTCTGTTGCGCCCCTTTTTCTGTTTTATAGTGTTGCATACTATGTTGGCACTTCATAAGTAAAGGATAATAAAATATCATCTGGAAGCATCTCATGTATGTTTTGTGGACATATCATTTTCTTATTTCATTGCCTATGGGATAATCATTCATATGAGAGTGTACTAGCAGTCGGTCAGTAGCCAGGCAGGCGCTGTCTTATGTCTCTGGGTAGTTTAAAGATCTTCAGTTAGAAAAATGAAATCGCCTGCTGGGAAAAGGTTTCCAGTTCCGGTTGTTAGCTGAACAGTGTGGGGAAGTTGTAGAAACCTGACACCTGAGAATATACAGGATGTGGCTGCGATTGACAGACTTGTCAGATCAGGATCATTGTGTTTGACATGAAGGAATAGGACTTGAAAGGGTAGTCTCAGAGAGGTGAGGATGTATCGCAACATTCCAGCAGAACATCAAATGCAGAAAACAAGATTCTTTATATTGAAATGAATCAGCTTGGACCTGACACCCTTTAAAGGTCCAATAACTTTAAACGGTGTCAGGATACCCACAGTCAGTGCCAATATCAAGTCCAGTACAGATATCCTCTGTCCACATTTATTTTTTTCAATTGCCAATATTCATACTTTTTTTCCAGGTATCTTCAGCCTGGTGACAAATAGGAATGCTGCATAAAATGCCACCGACATGTGAGCACTGTTCTCTGTAGCATTCTCCCATGTATAAATACGTAAATGGGTCACATTGTAGACCTAGTGCAAGGTTATGGCAAAAGATGAGGTGGCACGTGTTGTGACTAGAGAAAAAGGGGTTTAACTATCATGTACAGAAAGACTTCTTTACAGAAAAGGCTGTGAAACTGTGGAATAGTCTTTTAAAGGAGCTAGTTCTAGCCAACTCTGTAGATTCCTTCAAATAAGGGATGTTTGAAAATGGAAAATAATATAATTACTATTAATAATATGATATAACTACTATAATATAAAACTGCAGACATTTGGTTTTTGGGAGAATCCGATTGTCTAAGGAAGCAAGAAGGATTTTTTTCTGTTTCAGAATAATTGAGAGCATCCTTTGAGCATTTCTTGCCTTTCTCTTGATCAGCTAGTGGTTTAGACTTTTTGGGGTGGAACATTTTAATTAATTTATTTTTATTTTACAGAGTTAGTTCACCTCTTCAGAAAAAAATTAAAACTAACACCATATGCCCTACTGCCTTTCCTTCCTCAGTCCCTGTTGTACTTACCTCTGTGGGTAATGGGCCGTCTGTGCCCATGCATCCAATGCAGCAGTCCAGGGATATGAAATCCCTGCTTTCCTCCCACTTCTTTCTACCAGCACTGACCAATCAGAATTGCTCTGATCTATCCTGGAAGCGCTGCATAAAGGGAGACAAACACATTTTTTCAAATCCCTGGAAATTGGCTGCATGGACACTGACAACTCATCCCGTGTGGAGATAGATCCATCAGAGTATGTGGTAGGGGGGTGTTGGAGAGTATATGGTGTTAGTTCAATATGTCAGACATTCAAGCACAGACAGAACCATCCCATATACAGTCAAAAGATGTACAAGTCATAATCCCCATCACTGCTGCTGTAATAACCACTTGTAACGTGAATCCATGTAACCAATCGCTGTCCAAATCTTGTAGACTTCACCTCCATAACATCTCCAAGTTACACCCGTTCTTAACCTCAGAAACCACTAAGCAACTTATCCATTCCCTTGTTATCTCTCGCCTTGACTATTGTAACTCCCTCCTCATTGGTCTATCTAATCGCAGGCTATCCCCTCTTCAGTCTATCATGAATGCTGCTGCCAGACTCATCCACCTTACTAACCGTTCTGTATCAGCCACCCCTCTCTGCCAATCCCTCCAGTGGCTTCCCATTGCCCAACAGATAAAATTCAAAATATTAACAATAATATATAAAGCCACTTATAACTCTGCCCCAAATTACATCACCAATCTTTTCTCCAAATATCACCCAAGCTGTACTCTCCGCTCCTCACACGACCTCCTACTCTCTAGTTCCCTTGTCTCCTCCTCCCATGCTCGTGTCTAGAGCTTCCCCCATCCTCTGGAACTCTCTACCCCAATTTATCAGACTATCACCTACTCTGCTCACTTTTAGGCGATCTCTGAAAATCTATCTCTTCAGGGAAGCCTATCCTGCCCTCAACTAATAATGGAATCTTCTATTCCTCCTACCAGTTCATTCCCCACATTTACTACCTTTTGTACCACTAGCCCCTCCCTCCTAGATTGTAAGCTCCAAGGAGCAGAGACCTCCTAACCCCTTTTGTATTGAACTGTATTGTTGCTGTATTGTCTCCCTTTATATTGTAAAGTGCTGAGCAAACTATTGGCGCTATATAAATCCTGTATAATAATAACCAAAAAAAACAACGCTGTGAGAGTGGGCAAGTGTGAACCTCACATCAAGGTGTACCTTTATTAGAGTGCAACAGACCAAAGTATATGGTGGCCTGGGCAAGGTGGAAGGACCGATCGCTCCTTGGATATTGCAGGGGAGAGCAGAGGAAGTGCTCCCTTCCGCTTCCTCCGAGATCGTGGTGATGCCAGTTCTGGGACGCCGTGATCTCCGGGCTTTCCACCAGTGCACAGGAGCACTTTCTCTGCTCTCCCCTGCAATACCCAAGAAGCAGGGGTGGACTGACCATTTGGAAACTCGGGCACTGCCCGAGGTCAGTAGGGGCCCCCATGAGATGCCCCTGGTACCTTTTTCATAGGCTTTTTTGAGTTTGGGCAAGGACACAGGGGCCTCATGATCCCATATTGCCCGGGGGCCCCATGAGTTGTCAGTCCGCCCCTGCCAAGGAGTCCTTCCACCTTGCCCAGGCCACCATATACTTTGGTCTGTTGCACTCTAATAAAGATACACCTCATTATGAGGTTCACACTTACCCACTCTCGCAGCGCTGTTTCTTTTGGTTATATGGTGTTAGCTCACCTTTTATTTTTTTCTGAAAAGGTGAACTTGCATAGACATGAACATTTTTTTCATCCTGATTAACTTTGTGACTAGCTGGATCATTTACATGTTGGCAGCAAAAGTGTTAATCAGTTATATTTACAGGTCTTTGACCTGCCATTCCACACTCTGCAAGATTGTAATGGATATGTTTTTAATGACAATATCAATTACATTTTTATTTTTGAATACTATAAGTTTCCCTCTCTCTTATAAGATGATTTATTTTAGTTTACTGCTAATTTAAAGACCCAAATATTAAATTCATGTCAAATGTGTTCATGTGTGGAAACCCTTGTAAAACACACCCATGCACTGGTATGGTAAGACAGTATAATGTTGTCCATATTGGCCGCCAATGTGAACCCACACAAGTACAATTTCCTATTATTCCAAAAGGTGTCACTATAAGGCAAGAATGATCAGTGGATGTTCTCAGTGAGCTGTGCAGATAGGAGCGAGCATCAGAAATATTGAAAGATAGTGCACACATTTTCTGCATTTTACAGTAAAAGTAAAGAGACAATCTTTCCCAGTAACACAAGCTCTTATTCTTTATATCCGGCATGTGGATTTTATGACTGGAATTCATATAAATGTCCCTCTGTAATATGTCAGCTGCAGGTTCTGACTTGCTGTTATCAGAGCTGGTGGTAGAATGAAGGTATTTTTATGTATGCCCATGAGGACATCCACGCTGGGAGCTGTCGCTGTTCTAGACAACCTCTGTTTAAGCCTGAACCTTTCTTCTGCCCCACCTTTATACAGAAAGTTATTTATTAAAGGTACTTATATAGCGCCATCAATATACACAGCACTTCACATATATATTGCACATTCACATCAGTTCCTAACCCTCAAGGGGCGTACAATCTAAGGTCCCTAACTTACATCAATACATACACATACTAGGGCCAATTTAGACCAGATCCAATGAACTTGCCAGCATGTCTTTAGAGTGTGGGAGGAAACCGGAGTACCCAGAGGAAACCCACGCAGGCACAGGGAGAACATGCAAACTCCAGACAGATGGTGCTGTGGTTGGCATTCGAACCAACAACCTTAGTACTGCCAGGTGGAAGTGCAAACCATTTAGCCACTGTGCTGCCCAAATTTGGCCCTCTTTTAGGTCTGCCGTAGGTACTTTGCTAAGTATTTGGCTAGGTGACTGGCTATAAAAGGTGTTGCTCCCAGCCTCCAACTGTGCCTTACCTACCATTCCCTTTTCCTTTCTTTTCATCAGGGGTCTTTGGTAGTCAGTGACTTTGGTAGTCAGTAGGAAGAATGCAACTCCTAAAGTGTTACTAAACCCAGGACCCTGCATCCACTATATCTGGTCTCCCACAGTACACAGAACATGGAAATGCAATTAGTTTAGTAAATATACACTGCTAAATACCTTTTCTCATCAGATGTTAGAGCAGTCTTGTGACTTCTATCAGTGTCCAGCCCAGCACTGGCTAAAACTTGAAGGAGGCGTTTTCTTTCTGGTTTAGGATACAAAAAACCTGACCTCTGTCTGACCAGTGCTGATTGGCCCTGTGCTGATCACATGCACTCTCCCAAGAAGGAAAAAAAACCTCTCTAGCAATACACACCAAACTGAGCATGTGCAAATCCTACAGTTCAGTTTGTCTTATCCGGACATAAGAGGTGGTCGCTTGAAAAAGGAGAGGAACATAGAAGAAAGGATCAAATGGCCTTTTTACACAATGCAGAGGATTAACTCCTTAGGTTCCACAGTGAGTATAACAAGCATGCTTTACTGCATATACAGACTGATTTTACTGTTGTGGGTTTAGTAATACTCTAAAGTAGTGGTCAAAATGCTTTCGGATGTTGGTGATTTTGCAAAGTGGCATTGTCTTGGATTTAAGTAGGTAGTATCAGATGAGAAATTAGTGAGCCACAGCTTAAGGAACCCAGAGCTACCTTTTAAGGAGTTCCATGGAACCCTGGTTGAGAATGCTATTGTAAACAGTTTTAGGCTGGAATTACACCTTTACATATGCACTTTCATTTATTTGTTCATGTATTATCAACAATCATGCATTTTCATGCACTGCCCATGTTAATAATAGGCCCCATAACATAAAATGACACATCAAATAATGGGCAATGCACATCAAGGCATTGCACAGTGAACTATCACCATTTACAACAATAGAAAACCTGTGTACATGTGTTGATTTATGGTAAAACACTATAATTACCTTAATTGTTTCCTTTAATATCAAAATCTAAATAAAGCTTTATAAGAAGGGTGTTCAAGTCAAACCTGGACTTTTGAGTTTATATAATAAAAGAAAAAATTTCAAGGCGTGGAAACTGCATTTATTTTTTTTGCATACTCCCCTGCTACATTTCTACACTTATCCCAGAATTTATCTAATGCCTGAAAAGCTTCGGCATAGAAAGATTTGTCAGTATGCCTGAACCATCCTAGGACAGCCTTCTTCACGTCGTCATCATTGCTGAAATGCTGACCTTCGAGGAATTCTTTTGGGGGTCCAGAATGTTAACAGCAATGACTGCTGTGGCCTGGGAACCACCACTGCCAGGATCGTCACTGACAGACATACGGCCATCTTTGAAACTTTTACACCATTCAAAAGTCTTATTGCAATCGAGCAGTAAGGTGTTAGAAGTCTTCTGTAGATATCTGCGGGGTTTACACCTTCTTTCACAAGAAACTTCATCCCCACACTTTGTTCCATGCACGCACTAACACTGGTGTCTGCCATCTTGATTAACGGTCTCTGGACTGGCCCGTGACATGTACGCTGCCTATCAGTAATAGGACACACCTGCCACTTATTATTATTATTATACAGGATTTATATAGCGCCAACAGTTTGCTCAGCACTTTACAATATAACGGGAGACAATACAGAAACAATACAGTTCAATACAAGAGGGATTTGAGGGCCCTGCTCCTTGGAGCTTACAATCTAGGAGGGAGGGACTAGTGGTACAAAAGGTAGTAACTGTGGGGGATGGACTGGTTGGAAGAGTAGAAGATTCCATCATTAGCTGAGGGCAGGATAGGCTTCCCTGAAGAGATAGGTTTTCAGAGATCGCCTAAAAGTGAGCAGAGTAGGCGATAGTCTGATAAATTGGTGTAGAGAGTTCCAGAGGATGGGGGAAGCTCTGGAGAAGTCCTGGATACGAGCATGGGAGGAAGATACAAGGGAGCTAGAGAGTAGAAGGTCTTGAGAGAGGTTTGGGTGATATTTAGAGACAAGATCGGTGATGTAATTTGGGGCAGAGTAATTAATGGCTTTATACGTTATTGTTAGTGTTTTGAATTTTATCCATTGGGCAATGGGAAGCCAGTGGAGGGATTAGCAGAGAGGGGTGGCAGATACAGAACGGTTAGTAAGGTGGATGATTCTGGCAGCAGCATTCATGATAGACTGAAGAGGGGATAGCCTGCGATGAGCTAGGCCAATGAGGAGGGAGTTAAAAAAGTCAAGGCAAGATATATCAAGAGAGTGGATAGGTTGCTTAGTGGTTTCCGAGGTTAGGAACGGGCGTATCTTGGAGATGTTGCGGAGGTGAAGTCTACAAGATTTGGACAGGGATTGGATTTGGGGCTGAAAGGACATATGGGAGCCTAGGATTACACCTAGCACCCTGGCATGAGGGGAGGGACTGATGATTGTGTTATTGATCTTGATGGAGAAGTCAGGGGAGGGGGCACGGGCTGGGGGGAATACTAAGAGCTCAGTTTTGGAAAGATTGAGTTTGAGGAAGTGGAGTGACATCCATGCCGATATGTCACTTATTACTGCGTATAGTACCGCCACGCTAGCATCCCTTTTTATATCTGTAAAATTAAAAGTCCCAGTTTGACTTGAATACCCCTCATAGTTTGCCTGCACCATAAACACACTTAAAAATGTAATAATCAAAAAAGCAAATATGGTATTGCATCATGATGTTCAATGCCATTTCTTAATACCCAGCTGTTATAGGTGCCAGCATATGCTTTAAAGGAAACCTGCCATGATAGAAATATGGAGTCTGCCATTGCAGATCTCCTTTATGAAGTGCTATTGATTTGACTGTCATGATCATTCTTAAAAAGAAACTACTGAGAGAAATACATAGATTGATATTTCTGACGTTCTTTTGAAAATAAAAGCTGCCTGGCTGTCTCTCCCCCATCTCCAGAGGGTTATGCTTGACTATCGGCACTCCTGTGCAGGATCACTGCTCTGTCATTGTAGCTCTAATGGAGTGTGGCTTCCCAGAATGGGGGAACACTTGACCACCCCCATGCAACAATACGAGGCCCTGAGCAGCCAACCACCGAGACGAATATACTGTCACATAGGTGGGCAATACGTTTATGCACCTGGAACTCCTGTAGCAGGTAGATAATGAGGAGGCCTGGATAGATAAGTATCATTGCACCATTTCTATATGTATTCGTTAATTACAAGTATTTGGTTATAGGGCTGATAATTTATGCAGTGCTTTACATACTGTACATTCACATCAGTTCCTGCCCTCAAGAAGCTTACAATCTGAGGTCTCACATGCATAGATACAATCACATGCTTACTAGGATCAGTTTGGACAGCAACTAGTTAGTCTACTAGCATTTCTTTGTCGTGTGGGAGTAAAATGGAGTAACACCCTGGTCACATCGGGTGTGATTTGGCATACGATTTACAAATTCTATACCAAGTTGCACCCTATTGTCCGCTATTAGAGCGGTCATATTGGTGCAGTTCCGACTTGGTTGGAGACGCACCGATTTCTAAAGTAGTGCATACACTACTTTTGTTGCGATTTGTATAGACATCTGTATCCCTGAGTCCAGAATGTTATTTCAAGGGTTCCTTTGTGTTGAAAAGGCTGAGAAAGGCTGTTCTAGAGGTTCTGAACTGACTCCCATTTTATGGTACCTGCATAGTTTCGGGTCAAT